TTTCCTCTAAATCACTCTCACTTGCACAATCGTTGAACAAATCAAGTGCGCCGTCTATGTCTAATGAATTATATGACACTTTCGTATAAGAAGTGTCTCTGAGATATTCTACAAATGTATGGTGGTTTTGTGTAGCAACTTACCTTGCGCAGCAACTCGAGCGTTTTCTTAATGCGTATCACTAGCAAATTGAAGCGTTCCAGTTCTTGCAGCAGCACCACGCCTGTCGGTGTGATATTCATTTGGACTTGCTTCTTCACACGCCACACCTCGAAGGCAACAGGCAGTTTACCCAATATGCCAGAAGCAACGTTGTCGATGAAGTCGTCGCGACTGATGCCTCCAGTTGCATCGCCTGCATGCGGCACATCACACGTTTTTTACCAGTTTGGGTTGTTGTAGTTGTAATAGTGGTTGTTGTAGGGTTAAAAAACGGATTAAATGATTAACAATCGATTAACAATTATTTAAGGAATTTTAAACGTTATATTGTAAATAGGCAACTTTGTGCGACTAAAAGTTGTAATTTACTGAAATCGACGTTTCAAATTTTGATTTTGAAGTAACTGCATCTTCAATGCCAATTTTGTATCTGTAATAATAATATTAATACTGTGGACAAAAATATTCAGGTGATCGAACGCTTATGGGATCTAACCTTAAATCCTTTTTGAATGAGAAAATCTTAAGTAAAACCAGAAAAAACCTTCAATTCGGTTGCACCGAAGCTAGAATGCCCTGCATAAGTTAAAAATGTTGTAATGGACTAAATCAACTCAGCTCGTCACTCTGATCATTTATGTATTATATATATTTTATTGAACGTTGCCTTCTGGGTATTCCAATCTTCGTGGCAAACTTAATATACCCCGTTTAGGGTATAAAAATAGGTGGACGATTTAGGTTAGAAAATACAGAATTATATTTCTTGGTAGTAAATTTCTAACATAAGAGTAAATTTAATAAGTATGTATTTGAAGAAAATCAGTAAAACCAAATCGTTTGATTTCACTCGTCTGTACGTGGAATAGTTAAACCCTGGCAATTTTTGTGTGATTGATAAACTATCGATAATTTTTTTTACGGATGGGTCAAAGTTTCTTGGCAATATTGGTGGCGGCGTGTACTGTGTGAAACTATCAATTAACATTGCGTTAGCACGACAGTCGGGTCTACGTAGCCGGTACGGGCCCGACCAAGAACTATCAACTCGGCAGCTTTCCTCTAAGCTATCTCACAGGTTTTTTTGCCGTTGCAACAACAACAAGCTCAATTCACATGGGCTTCCGGCTTTCTGACTACTGCAGCGTTTTTCAAGCTGAGTTTGCTGCCATTAAGGTAGCAGTAGTTCTACTTTTTCTAAGCTACAAATAAGGATATTCAGACCAAGTCCTCATTTAATACCATAAGGTTGGCGGGTGGTGTCTTGGTAAAAAAA